ACAATCCTTGTTTGATTCCACATAATTACGACGGCGAATGAAAAGTGATAATTATTTTCAACTAGATATGGTTTCTACGAGAGGCGTTAGAAACACAACAATTGCACAGGATTAAGATATAATTTTAAAATAGTTATTTTAAACGAATTATAAATGTGAACAGGAAGAGTCTGGAAACGAAGTTGAAATAACTGTTCTTGTAACTAAGAAAATGGGGTGAATTGAATGAAGACGGAGGGAGTAAGAATCACACTATTATATGTACATTGAGTTGGTCATATGCGAGACTTTGTCCTTCGCGTTGTTTCGAAGTATTGGACAGCAAGAGAATGTCACTGTTAGTGCTACTGCAGGGAATATCCAGCTCTTTAAAGAAGACCTTCCATACAGCAACACCAATAGGGACATTTTCTAGCCTTCCAATACTTCGAAATAATACGAAGGACAAACTCTCGCATGTGACAAATTCAATGTGCATATACTAGTTCATATGCTCGTCTGGAGCTAGGTACATAGGTCATTGTATGCGCGTCCTTTCAAAACGTTTCAGAGAACATTACGAAGCGTGGCTGCAAAGAGGAGGCACCGGTTCAATCAGAAGTGTCATTACTGAACACCTGATCAACACCTCCCACAACATCTCAACGTATTCTTTCAAAGTAATTTACAAAGTCAACAGAAACCAACCAAAAGTAGTATTTTTTCAACTTCTTCGTACTGCAGAAGCCCTCGCAATATGCATGGAGAAGCCGGAGCTGTGTGTTCAAAAGAAATTAGCCCAACCTCTACAACTACCATGGACCTAGTTTGGTATGTTCTCTTAGCTCCGTTCTTTTCTTCTTTCGTTCTCTTTTTTCTTTTTGATCTTTTTTCGTTCACTTTGTGTGTGAATTTTACTCCCACTGTCTTCCTAGACTACACATCTGCTTTCGACTCGGTCCCTAGGGACATCTTATTAAATAAACTTTCTGCTAGTTAACTGGTTACATTCCTATTTCTCAGATAGAAAGCAGTACACCGTATATAAAGGGAAGTCTTCCACTTCATTGCCTACTGAAGCTGGTGTCCCTCAAGGCGCTGTTTTTTCTCCTCTTCTTTTTTCTTTCTTCTTGCATGACTTGCCTCACTCTGATGAAATAAACTTTGTGAAGTACGCTGATGATTTAACGGTTTCAATGGCTGTTAACTCCCAGCTAGATTGTACCAAAATAAATAGCTTTCCATCGGGAGTCAGCAAATGGTCTGAGTCTAACGGTCTTAAACTGAATCCTTCTAAATGTCAAACTGTTGATTTCAGCTTAAGATGTAAACGACAGTTAAAAGAAGTCATCGATTCTCATGACAGTTGTAAGATTGACGATAATGATATAGGAATCAAATCAGAAATTAAGTATCTTGGACTTATTCTCTCTTCTGATCTCTCCTGGTCTTCCCATGTCTTAGCAATCTCCAGTAAAATATTCCGCCTGACATTTTACATTAAGAAGTTAAGGCACTTGGGTATAACTCGAGCCCTCCTCTTACAGTTCGTAAACTCTTGCATCCTACCTATTCTTCTTTATTGTCCATCCTTATTCTTTCCTGGTTTGCTTAAAAAAGACTATGTCACAATTCGTAGAATGCTGAAGACTGTCAGTAGGGTGAGTGGTGTCCCAGTGGACCACATAGTTAACGTTGTTGTCGATAGGCACTTGACTTCATGCAATAAATTTGCTAAAGGGATTTTGTCTGACTTGGAGCATCCGCTTTACCCTCAGCTTTCACCTTGCATCTCCTCAGGTAGAACAAGGAGTAACTTCAGAAAACTGTATGCTCGCACGTCTAAGTATAGAAATTCTATGATACCATAATTGTCGCGTATTTTATGTGATGAAAATAGTGTCAGGCAAGAATTAACTAACCTTTTTCATCTAGTAAATAAACAATTTCCTCCATCCATGCATCCATCCATCCATCCTTATATACCTTCAAGTTTTGCTTTTATTATTTCTATTATATTTATGGTCCTGTTACTTCTCTGTTTTACTCTCATAATTGCAAACACCAACTTAACTCTATGACTGCTGTAATCTTTGTTTTTTCCCCTCACCATCATCATCATGTAAAGAGAATATTATATTCAATATTTTTAAACATGTTAGGATTTCTATACCACATTGCCAATACTGTGTGACACAAGCCAACGGCAATTTTCACTTGTATCATTATTATTCTTACCCTAGCTGTTACCATTATTATTATTTCCATTTTATATGCTGCATGTTTTTGACACTACCTCTAATGTAAATGTGGAAAATTTTCTGTGTGATTAATTTTTATTTATAATTTGAGGAAATTAGATGGAATATTGTGATTAATGCTGAAAATTCCATTCTGTATCACAAGTACTGTTTTTGGAATAAAGTAAATCATTATTATTATTCATTCTATTCACCTCATTTTTTCAGTTATAAAAACAGTTATTTTAAGTTTGTTTCCATGCTTATCCTGTTCACATTTATAACTCATTTACAAAATTAACTATTTTACAACTATATCTTAATCCTGTGCAATTGTTGTGTTTCTAAGGCTCTTGTAATCTGTATTTGCACCTCCTGACTCCCATCTCAAGTTGAAAATTATTATTATTATTGCAATTTTGTTTCCATGCTCACTCATTTTTACACACTTGTTATCCGTTCTAATCCTGTGCAATTGTTGTGTTTCTAACGCCTCTCGTAGAAACCATATCTAGTTGAAAATAATTATCAACTTTTATTCGCCGTCGTAATTATGTGGAATCAAACAAGGATTGTTTGTATCCATGTAAGTAAAATTATGTATGTGAATGCGATTGTACAGGTAATTTTGAAAAGGAAATCGCCGAAAAGACAGATATCTTTCCTGAACTTCCTGTTCTCTTCTTTCTAATAGCAATAATAGTAATAATAATAATAATAATTCAGCCAATCTGATGTGGCATTTTTAATAATAATATTGTTGAAAATTTGAGATTCTTAAGCAGTACTCCAGTGGATCGTTGGCACAGTGGTATAATGCTCGTCAACCAACTAGGCATGTGGTCTGGAGCTCGATCCCTGGCCGCCAAGGCACTCGTTTACCTCGCTAAGCCAGTAATGAGGCTGATGAAGATGAAAGGTTGGCACTGCGTGAGACTAGTGACTTTATCCTATAAAAATAACCATCAGTGCTATAGAAACCTCAAGCCTCTAGCTTGAAGGCGGTCTATGTTGTTCCACTGGGAACGCAAATGAATAGAAAAAGCAGTACTCCACAACTGATGGTCGAATCTAAGACCTTCCAGTTACAAGGTAACCTCATCGACTATTCCTTCAACCATCGAAGACATTGGTTGGTAGTCTCTTTGAAATAACAAATTGGTAGAAGCTGGAACTAGTGAGCTGATCATTAGATTAGATGGGCCTCAATGGTTGGATGAATAGTCTAGGAGTTTGACTTATAATCGGAGGTTCTAGATTCGAACACTGATGGGCGCCTATTGCTAAATAGTAATAATAATATTAATAATAATAAAGTTAGATAAAGCAATGAGAAGACGTAATTTGTTTGAATCATGTAATGTGAAATTTGTGCTACACATTTCGAACATTCTCATCATACATGGACTTGTCGTAGGAATATATGTGTATGAAAGAGTTAAGAGGTGAGAAAATAGACTACTTCGGTCAAGTTAAAACGACATTTTGAAGGTCAAAATAACAATGAAGATCACTAAACCAAATAACAGAGGTAATAATATATCTGTTATGATATCAAAACAAAATTTACTCAGGAAGAAGGTTTAGTGTGATGACGAATTATTTTTGAGCGCATAAATATGGTTTAAACTTTCTTATTACTAGCCAGGGCTTTCACAAACTTTAGGATACGCCCACCCCCAAACACGTTTTATAGATAGGTTTAAAAGATGTGTTAACGTCAATTTTATGTTCTGTCTCTATAATATGTTTCGCAATAGAGGAGCTAGGTTGTCTTTTTTCACCATTAATGGGTTCTGAAGATTCCATTTGTTTCTGGAGCCATTTAGGAATATGCTCTGAAGCCCTTACTTGAGTCCTCCCTATGTGTGTGTGTGTGTGTGCCAGTACGTACATTCAAATTAGTAAATACAGTGGGATGTGACATCTCTTTTCGCGTGTTCAAAGGGCTCAGATGCATATATTGGCTTCACATTCTCAATTACTATTATGATATTAGCTGCATAAAATGTCTTTTTAACAGCAGCGTTCATTCTTTGTCCAGTTATCAAGCTGCCATAATTCCCCGTATTGGGTAGCTTGATGTAAACGTCTTTCTTAGAGGCGAGTTGGAGAGTGGGTCTTGGCGTTCCACTGTCTACTTTATATCTCCTAATGAACTTGTTTGGATAACTGTTATCAACCAGAGTTTGTGTCACCTTTCTCTCTTCTTCATCAAGTGTGTATTCAATGTATATTCGCTGAATTGTACTAAAGAGGCACCTCACTTACTAAGTCTCTTTTTTACCGAATAGAGCAGGAACTGTACTAATTAAAATACTTTCCTGTCCAGGTAAGTTTTCTATAAATGGATCTTTTATTGACCCATCAAGCCGTCGACTAAACAATATGTCTAGGAAAGATAAACAATTATCTTCCTCTTCTACCTACATATATAAGTGATACGGTATTCTGAACTTCATTCATCATTCTATTTAAAATTAAGGTGGCAGAACAAGACGTACCACTTATGATTACAATATCATTTAAATACCTTCTATAAAGTGTCACATTTTCAATTAAATTCTCCGATAAATTCTCAATGTATGTACGACATATAAATATGTGCTAGGAGGGGCCCTAACCAACTTCACATAGCAACACCATCAACTTAGCGGAAAAACAATCACCTTCAAGTGTAAACCTAACATTGTAAGTACATAGAAGTAATAAATCCCTTAAATAAGATATTGGTAAACGGGATGAAAAAATTAATTAATAAAGTTAACAAATATTTCTTACCATATAGTGATTTTCTTTAGATTATTGATTTCGTAGTTCTGGGTAGTATATTTCACAGTACTTCTCTTTTGTGCAGTGATGATAAATAGTTTTTGTAGAGATTTCTCTTTATCACATCCATATATATTTATTATTATTATTATTGTGATTATGATTATTACTAATAGTAGTAATGTTAATGTTGTCATGTATGATAAGACAAGTCATTTGATGAAAGTTATTTTTGCTATTCTTTTATTCCCTTGCATTTTGATACTTGTACACCAGGCCAACAAGCAAATAAGCAAGTAAGCAAGCAGACGATGGTGTAGACACACTCACATACAATGGAGTTCATGTATATCTAAGTATATATTTCTCTCTCTTGTTGTCAACGTCTTCCACTCTTATTCCCTCCCATTGTTTATCGCGTGTATTTTGCCTTTCGGTGATACCCACTGAAGACAACTGACTAGCCAACTGACCAACCAACCAACTAACGAACGAACGAACGAACGAACCAACTGGTTAACTAACTTTTACTGACAGTCATGAAAGTCAGACAAAGAGAGATTGTCTTATTTATTGCATGCTTGTACATATTTTTATGAATATACCTATACAAAGGGTATTTATATCTAATGGGTAACTTTAGATGATGGAGGCCAGTTTATACAACGTAAGCAAACACACCTCTATTCACAGACACTCACTTACACACACAAACACACACAGATAGACAGACAGACAGACAAAAGAATGCACAAACAACTTCATCAAAATGGTTAAATCCCTCCATCCATTTTCCCCTAATGGAGTTAAAATGCACTTAGAATTTTTAATGTTTCCCTGCTGATTTCTTTGTTGAATAGGGGGGGGGAGGGATTCTTCCTTTCTCATGACGATGGTGATGACAAAGATGTTGATAGGAATTAGGAGTTTGTGTATTTTCCAATGAATGAAAAACTGACGTCTCGCTATTTAATGCTGCTGCTAACAGCTTTATCAAAGTAGTTATATTAAACCAGAATTTACAAGATCCACTCACCTTAGATATAACAAAGAGTTAAGGGGTGAGAAAATAGACTACTTAGGTCAAGTTAAAAAGAGGACATATTGAAAGTAAAAATAGCAATGAAGATCAATCACTAAACCAAATATCAAAGGTAATAGTACATCTGTTATGATATCAAAACAAAATAAAGTTTACTAACTTGATCCTCGTTTGTCACTATGGGGTCGTTTTTCGTTGTCAAGTTGGTCAACTGGTAGAGATAACAAAATCAGGTAGGTGTAGATTGTTGGATTTGATCAGTATGTAAAATTATAAAAGCAGTGTGTGTGTGTGTGTTCGCATAGTGAACTTGCTTATCATGCTTATTCGTGTTGATTTTGTCACTTCGTTGGGGAGGGGAGGGAGGTGTTGAAAGCATGTCAGATTCTGTTTTAGTCCATCATTCCTATTCAGGTTATTTGGATTCCACTTGATATGAAGTGCTTCTGGTAATATTAAACGTTATTTGTGATTTCTGAAGTTTTTCTGGATGATGATTTCAATATTGTCAAAATCAATTTTGTGACCTGATTCTATAGTGTGTAGACCTATGGCTGATGACTTTGCAAGTTTTTCTAGTTAAACCGGAATTCTCGGCGTCGAAGAGATGCTCTACGGTGTTCATTTCTTCTGATTTTGATTTCTCGAGATTTTTGTCCGATGTAGATTGCATCGTATTCCAAGCATTTTATTTTATAGACACAATTAGATAGAGAATCTTTAGGGATTTGGTCTTTTATATGGACAAGGTTACTTTGAAGTGTGCGTGTCTGACGTTTTGAAGAAGACTCTAATGTCGAGCTGATTGAGTACTCTTCTGATTTCTCTGAGCTATATGGAATGGTGACTGAACAGAAACGATGGACTAAAACAGAATCTGACATGCTTTCAACACCTCCCTCCCTTCCCCAACGAAGTGACAAATCAACACGAATAAGCATGATAAGCAAGTTCACTATGCGAACACACACACACACACACTGCTTTTATAATTTTACACACTGATCCAATCCAACAATCTACACCTACCTGATTTTGTTATCTCTACCAGTTGACCAACTTGACAACGAAAAACGACCCCATACTGACGAACGAGGATCAAGTTAGTAAACTTTATTTTGTTTTGATATCATAACAGATGTACTATTACCTTTGATATTTGGTTTTAGTGATCTTCATTGCTATTTTGACTTTCAATATGTTCTCTTTTCAATTTGACCTAAGTAGTCTATTTTCTCACCTATTAACTCTTTGTTATATATAAGCTTTTATTATTTTAGCTCCCTTGGGTTCCTAGTGGAACATAGGGCTTCAACTGCACGTCTCCATTTGCTTATGTCTACCTTCTGCTGTACTTTTCACCTCCATCCATCTGAGTCCATACTCTTTCACCTCCTCTTAACACGATCTCCTCCATGTCACCCATCCTTGCACTGACGTCCCACTCGCCTCTTCCCTTTCGAGTTCCACTCGAGGGCTTGATGCGCGATGTCACCCAGCGGCCTCCTCAGCGAGCGAGTTTCCGATCCATCTCCACTTTCTCCTGCACATTTGTTGGTCGATTGGTTCTTGCTCTGCTTGTTTCCATAGTTTCTTGTTGGTGATTCTTTCCAGCCCGGCCATCTGATCTTCAGCATAGAGCGAAGACAGTTGTTGATGAAGGTCTGCAATAGCCTGTTGGGAATATTCTTTGTTACTCACCTGCCAAGTTTCTGATCCGTTCCGTATAGAAGAACTGACTGACTTGACGTGTGTATTGGAAATCCGACGGAATTTTTATGTTGATTCTGGCTGAGTGACGAAGATTTCCAGATTGGTTGTTTCAGGTTGATGAATGTGTTTCTCGCCTGCTTACCCGATTCTCGCTCGATTTGACATCATCGTCCGTTCCGACTTCTTGTTGTTGAGACAATGCTACCTAGATAAGTGAATGAATAAAGTAACCTCTTTCAAATCCCTCCCTTTAATGGTGATTGACGCTGGATGTTGCTGCTGTTGTTGTTGGTTTGCTAAAGCTGTTAGCAGCATTAAATAGCGAAACGTCAGTAAAAACAACAAAGGTATCATTTTGTTTTTTATTCATTCATCGGGAAATATATATATATATATATACATGAACCAGGTTCATTTGATCAATATCAACTTACGTAATTGTGTGACAGACGTTTAACAACAACAACAACACCAACAGCAATGACGATAACAAATCAGCCAACAAGTATAAACTAGACAAGTTGTTTTCTTATAAAAACACTTTTTTTGTTTTAGTAAATATTTTTTCTTCATTAGATTATGTAATATGGGATAAATAATGATAAATAATATGAAGGGGGAGATTTTTTTGGTGTAATTTCACTGTAGCATTCACTCACTCACTCACTCACCCAGTCACTTAGTCATTCAATTACTAACTCGCTTGTTAACTCATCTTCAGTGTCTTATGTCTCCTGTCTCTTTAATATCTGTGTAAAACTTGGGCACTGTGGTAGTAAGTAATTCCGTATTAGTTTGTTTATTAGATGGATGCATCACACAGTCAGTGAAACAGTATTATTATTTACTTGATGACAAAGTTTCGAAAACAATTTATCGGGGTTCATAATCATATCAATTTTGATCACATGACTTTGAAATTTTAGTTTTATAGTTTTCTTTGTCTTCTCCTATTTGTCGTCGTGGGCGTGGTAGTAGAATTTTCCAGATGTCCAATTCAACAGGTGTTGAATCATTCCTATTACATGTATTCTCTCTCAGTTGATTCGATAAACAAGACTTCCGTTATCATAATAGTTATCATAATAATCCTAATAGCTATAGTGATAATAATAAAAATGACAATAATAATAATAATAGTGATAGTAATAATACTAATAACGACACCAGCAATAAGGAATGTAAATCATCAACAGTAATTCCATACAAGGAAAGAACCTCGAAAACCAGCTTACGCAGAATTCTTAACAAGGCAGGAATAAAAGTGGCTGGCATTCAAACCACCCACAAAATCAATTAGAAACAAGCTTTGTCGGTTAAAGGATCATCCTGTAGAGCCATTGAAACAAAACAATATCGTTTATCTAATACCCTGCCTGCGATGATTGTCAGGTCAAATACATAGGTCAAAATAGTAGAACAGGGGCAGTCAGACCAGCCGAGCATAAAAACCTAGCAAAATCTAGATTGGTTGACCCAAATAAGATAAGAAATCTAGAGAATAGTTCAGGCATAGCATTACATGCAGTCACACACAACCATACAATAGGATGGATGGGATAAGATGACAGTTTTAAAATCTAATCTAATGCAGCAGCAGGATGGAGGAAGAGATTGATAACAGATGCTTTGTTTATCGAATCAACTGCGAATACATGTAATAGGAATGATTCAACACCTGTCCAGCCAGATATGTGGAAAATTCTACTTCTCATACGACAAATAGAAGAAGACAAAGAAAGCTATAAAACTCAAGTTTCAAAGTCGTGTGATTACAATTGATGATATGATTATGAACAGCAATAAATTGTGTTCGAAACCTCGTCATCCAGTAAATAATAATACTGTTTCACTGACTGTGTGATGCATCCATCTAATAAACAAACTAATATGGAATGTCTCCTGTCTCTTTTCTGTCGTCAAATGTCAAATAACAGATGGAAAAAAAGGATAGCGAAAGAAATCAGACATGTTGTAGCAGAAGGCGAACTATGGCAGACATCCTATGCTTTGTTCAATACGCAAGAAAATACATGGATAGATGGATAGATAGATAGATAGATAAATGAATCAGTGTGGTATGGTATGCCTAATGGCATAGAAACAGTCCTGGAGACACAAAGGATGAATACACTTCATCACTAACTAATTAACTAACTAACTAACTAACCAACCAACTAGTAAAGCGATTGCTCAGCATGATGTTTTATAATTAAGGCATCAAAAAATAAAGACAAGACAGATGAATAAACATATTTTGTTTTTGAATGAAAAACACAAAACAAATGTAAATTACGACATGTTTAGGTTTTTGTCTAGAGTTTTGATATAAACTGAACACTCACTTACCTAGTGAATTATCATTGCCTAAGAATGGGTTTCTTATTATTATCAAGTGGTTGGAGACAATCGGAAGTAAGTTCTGTCAAGATTTAGATTTCGTAGTTTCGGAACTTACCACTTAGCAAGGTGTGTCTGCATTCTTTAAGGAAC